AGCTCTATCCAGGATACTCCCATAATTCCAAATGCCCATCACCAATTATCAAACTATAAAAAGGGGTGTGTTGCTATTCAAACTAAAGTGAAAAGGGGAATTCTATTCTAAGGAAAAAAAAAAAAAAAACACCACCAGATGGTTTGAGAGGTATTACTGCTATCAGAAGAGGAAAGAGTATAAGGGAAGGAGGAGGGGAGGAGAGGCGAAAAGAAACAGCTGAACATGGTGACACAAACACCTGTAATCCCAGAACTCATCAGGGGAAGAAAGGAAGATGGAGAGTTTGAGGCCAGGTTAGGCTACTGAATATGGTACACACAAATGTTTGGAACTAAAAATGAGAGGGACAAAACATGAAGAATACTAATAACTAAATATATATAAGGTGTTGAGGAGATGGCTCAGTGGGTAAAAGCACTTGCTGCATATTGAAGTATGAAGGACTCCAGTTCAAATCCCCAGCACCCATGGTTACACACACATTGCAACCTATGCTGGTGGCTGTGCAGACTGTAGAAACAGAGGACCCCTGGGGCTTTCTGGCCACCAGACTAGCCCCTATCTTAAGCTCAATGGAGAAGTAAGTATGACAGAGAAGGACACCTGATGCCCTCCTCTGTCTCCATGTACATGCACACACTCGAAAGTGTGCACATGCTACACACATGTAACACATAAACAACACAATAAATGAGTAAAGTAAACGGCAACCTCTAAACTTACAAGTGAACTTGCCCCTATTTAAAGCGTGAAGAAATGCAATGCTATATTTTGTTCTGTCTCTGGGGCAAATCTGAGATCCAAGTGCTATCTTTGATTTGATCAGAATGTCACAGCCTCCAATCCCAAACTACCTCATATTAATCACTCTTTAAGCAGGCCACACTGCACTTGAAGTATCACTAGTTCTTGTTGCTCTGTCCTGTCATTGTGGCCTTCCTCTTCCAACAGTCTATCGTCTGCCTGTTCCCCCTGCCACAGCCCTTTCAGGAAACCCCTTGCCTCCAGTCTCTCCCCTCCTGATCCATTCTTCTGGTGTCTCTGGCAGATGGACAGTTCTCAAGTCTTATCTATTGACCTACTAAAGTCTCCACATCAACTCCTACCTTAAGGATAGATGTGAGTGGCTGGGCGGTGGTGGCACACGCCTTTAATCCCAGCACTCGGGAGGCAGAGGCAGGAGATTTCTGTGAGTTCAAGACCAGCCTGGTCTACAAGAGCTAGTTCCAGGTCAGCCTCCAAAGCCACAAAGAAACCCTGTTTCGAAACCCCACCCCCCTCCAAAATAAAAGGATAGATGTGAGTTTCTTCCTCAAGCAAGCCGAACCCTCTCTGACTGGGGCTACCAAGTCTCCATCCTGCTTGCCAGGGTGCTTGGCTCTAACCCTGATCTACATAGGGCTCTACACGAGGGTCCTCTATGCCCAGTGTTCCAATTCCACACTCCCAGAGGATACAAGCAAGAGTCATCCTCCTGCACTACTGTGGCATGAATTTCTACTACCAAGTTTTCCATCTTCTTCTGTTTTCCCAAATTCAAGTCCTACTCTGTCCAACCTGTAACCACTAGTCGTGTCTTGCTACTGTGTGTGTGAAATGTGGCTAGTAAAGACAAATAGGTGCTCTGACTATATAATATATACTGAATTTCAAATAATTCACACAGAAAAGGTACTATAGAACTATTTGTTAATCTTTACTATTACCTGCTGATGTAATGCATTAGGTTAAATAAAATACATTATGATTAATTAAATATACTTCTGTAAATGCTGTTACAGAAATATATATATATATATATATATATATATATCTTACATTTTTAATTTGTTTTTTGTTTTTTTTTTTGTTTGTTTGTTTTTTGAGACAGGATCTTGCTATGTAGAACTGACTGACAGAGAACTTTCTATGAAACCCAGACTGATTTCGGATTAATAATAATCCTCCTGCCTTAACCTCCCAAAAGCTTGGGTTATTTGTTTGATAGAGCAATACGTAATACACAGGAACTAAGAATTCGGGGAGGGGGCTTATTCAGTTACTTTCTCAATGATAATTTAAACAGCATAAGGAAAACTCAAGTCATCTCCTTCAGTTCTCAATGATACATGCAAACCATCTAAAACACAACCCTACAAGGGATGATTTAAAACATATAGTCAGGACCTAGCAAGTTGTCTGAAGTACAGACTGCTTTTTATGACGAGAGAGTAAGGCCATTACCATTATCTAATAAAAAAAGAAGGGTGGAGAAAATAGCTCTTAAAATGTATGTCCTATTAATGGTGGGAGAAAAGTAATAAAGAAGAATCTGGTAAATGCCTGCTCCAAGCCGAAGTCATTACATATGTATTCACACCCTTACCATACCCGTTTAACAGAGTAACCAAAGCTGAGGTTCAAGGGCAGGTTAAGTACTAGCCCAAGTTGCGCAGCTCGACAAGTGGCAGTGACAGGCTGCAAACCCAGGCCAGTATCATCCTCCTTATATGAGGAAAAAATACCAGTCTTATTTCATGTGAAGATACATATTTGAAAAGCAAGAGTTTAAGTTCATACATAATATGCAATACTAATTAAATACTAATTAAAATCATTCCCTTCAGTTACCTTCATTTTGACTTAATTCCTATCTTTCAGCCCAAGAACACTGTCTTTCTTAAAGGTAGTAACTAGATAAGATATTTGATGTTGTGGGAATTAATAATTTAATGCACCAGTTTTCTTTAAAGTCTTCTAACTACAGTTGCAAAGCAAAAGTTTACACTAAATATTATGGCTAGAACTCCTCAAATTTTATTTTTTTAAAGAATAGAGCCCCTATAATTAATGATCACAGTTACACATAAAGGAAACTTGGCCATCATCAATAACAAAAGTATTCCTAATGAAACAGCAAAGAACTCTATGTTACAGTGTTTTAAACACAGATTTCTATCTCTGAGTGATAATAAAGCTGTTATTTTTTCACATATAAAGATGATTCAGGCTGCAGACATGCCTCAGAGGTTAAGAGCACCTGCTGCTCCTGTACAGAGTTTTAGTTCCCAATACTAACCCCAGAGCAATTCACAACCACTTCTAACTCGAGCCCCAGGGGTCTGTCTACTGGTCTCCATGGTTACTATACTCAGTAGCACAAACCCACCACACACACATTTAAAAACAAAAAAAACATTGCTATTGACCGGGTTCATAGCCTATCCCTGCCACCTGCAGCTGAAGTGAGACACACACCTTAGAGGAGAAATTAGGGACACGCAGACGGAAAAGTATCCACTTTCTCAGAATCCTAACAAGGACAGCATATCTCTAAGAAACTAGTCTGATCTAGGTTTTCTGACTTTATAAAATGTAGCCAACTCAATCTTGGGCTTCTAAGTCAGAACAAAGGCTTAAATTCTTTAGCACAGAAAGGGTTTCAAAGTATCAAATGCCTTAAAATACTGTTTGATCCACCTTTATCAAAAATGCCCCCGCAGCAGGAGCTAATCAGATACTAAGGACCTAAGACAAAGCACTTGTGTGCCTGGATTTCACTACAGGAAGGAGAAAGTTCAACTTACCAAGAACACCTCATTTTGCTTTCAAGAGTCCAGAAACCAATCCCTCTAACAATAGCTGATTTACATTCATCATAAACTGAACACATTAAGTGTAATCTCCAGGAATCTGAGATAGTAAGCAACTTCATTTGGAAAAATCTGGTGAGCTGCTTTTTTTTTGGCGGGGGGGTAGTTTTGTGGTTGTGAAATTCATGGTTTTGAATTTTAGATTTCTGTTGGTTCACTGATTGGCTGGTTGACTGACCTGTCTCCCACCCAGAGATAGTTTACATAATATAAATAGAAATAATTAGCAACTCTTAATCTCATTAACAAGATGCTTAAAAATTCTCACCTTCGAAATGAATTCTTTAAGTCCTATTTTCTCAAGTGACAGCTGCTCTAAAAGTGAGTGTTCAATTTTTATTATTGCGATTTTTTCAACAGTAAATACATGTGGGAGAAACATGCCTTTTCCTTGTCCCCAAAATACAGACATGTCTGTCCATAGACAGGCAAAGATGTTTCTGTCTTGAACAAAAGTTCAGACAGACAGAACTAGAACCACTTAATATATATAGTCTAGCCAAGCTATACATCAGCAGCAGCAGGAGGAAACCTTGTGGACACTTCACAGCCACGGAGATGAGCTTTCAAGTCTTTACAGGTCAATTCCAGGCCCACTTGGGCTCTGCAGAACCTCCACCCTACAGGCCATAAAAAGGGAAGGCAGCAGGGAGTCATTCTGGTTACAAGGGAGAAGAAGTCACCCTGAACCCAAGAAAGCCTGGGTTTCTCTGAGCAGAGACCCCTTCACCCCAAGAACTCTATCAGCCCGACCCTCCTCACCCAGAAAAGAATTAAGTGTAAAAGGGAGAAGGGCAAGACAGAAGAAATGACATCCAAAGGGGAAAAAAAAAAATGGTCCTGGGATCACTTGGAATCAACCTATCTTAAATCTCACACTCAAATATAATAACATTTTAAAAGGAGAGTGGGTGAGAGAGATGGTAGTTCAACTAAGTCTGTGATGGGATCACTTGAGGTCCTGGTCTAACCCAAGTTGTCAAGAATTTAAATTTTTAAAATGGCAGGGAGAAATGGCAGAGATGTGTGTTCTTGCTCGCTCCACTTGTGCTGGGTTTATTTCCTGGAGAGGACAGGGTATAGTCACCTCTGTGCCTGGCCTCGAGATTACCCGAGGCTAGGCGCCCAAATGAGAATCTTAAGCTAAGTTTACACTTGAGGCGACAGGGCAGCACCCAGGGCTAGCCTACCGCCTTCAGGAACAATGCTTCAAGTGTCCCGATCTGGGCTAGCAGGGGTCCTGTGCGCACCATCCCCAGTCCCCTGCATCACTCGGACCTGAGAACCCGCCAGGCCCACGACAAGGATAGGACCCGATCCTCCGGCAGGTGGCCCTGACCACACAGCCCACGCCCCGCGCCTCACCCAGCAGCGCCCGCAGGTGCTTCAGGCGGGTCAGCACGTCCTTCTTGGGGTCCAGCACCTTCTGCGTGGACTTTTTCACATCCCCGTGGCTCCTTCGGGAGAACATCCCGCCGCGGGAAGCCCGAGCCCCGCCGGCGGGGCAGGAGGCGCCTGCGCCGCACGAGTCACAGCATAGGGTCGCGGCGAGCGCGTGTCGCTCTGGCCACTAGCCGCCCCCCTCCTGGCCGCCGCGCCGCCTCTGCCTCAGCGGAGGCTCCAGGAAGGAGGGGCGGGCCGAACGGCCAGGGGCGGGGCAGGAAGGCGGTGTCGACGCGAAACCCTCGGCCCCGCCCCACGGGAGCCTCCGGTCCGCCCCTCCGGCGACGCACGCTCGCAACCCGGACGGTCTCTCCACACAAGCGCCAGGAGCCTGAGACCTCACGGGGACGCGCGCCCAGCTCCGAGTCTGCGCTGTGACCTCCAATCAAATTGCTGTGTCTTCCACACGGCCACGAGAGCGTGGTCCCACCCCTCTGAGGGCCGCAACTGCTCCCGGGAAATGTAGTCCCCAGAAGACCAGGCGTTGCGACCTCGTTTCCAAGAGTCCTAGAGGGGCTTGACCCTGCCTTTGAAAGTCTCCCTTCTCTCTGACTCCCTTCTCTCTACTGTGTCGCCTCACTTCCCCAACCGCCTGCCTACCTTTCTCTCTCCCTCCCTGCCTCCCTCCCTCCCTCTCTCTTCCTCCCTCCATCCCTCCCCACCCCCTCAAAAACAGTAAGAAAAGTTGTAGGAGGTTTAAGATTTGAACTATTTCTAGGTTTCTGGATTAACAGTAAGGAGGAAGACAAAGTCCTTGTGGCCATACCAAAACCGGATATCTATTTCACATTAAAGTAAAGAAAATGGCTTTGGCAGCAGAAAGGGGTGAACTGGAGCTCAGTGAGGAGTCCAGTCAGGCCCCAAGGCACCTGGAACCCAACCTCAAGTGCTAGGTCTGGAGGTCAGTCTTGCCCCTTGATTTGTGGAAAGTGCATGCTCCTGTGTTGTGCAAGGCCACATAGCAATCCAGTAACAGAACCAGAAATAGAACCTGAGGGGCCTGACTCTGGGGCCAAGATGCTTTTTAAATGCCAGACACCTGTTCCCTGAAACAAGACGTTAAGTCAGAAGATGCTCATAAGGTTTCTTACCAGAGACCTGACTATAGACTTGTTTATTAGCATCTGGATTCCCCAAGGTTTTCAGCTTTATTAGCAAATATTTAAGGTGGCAGCTTAGTCACATGCTTTCCATCTAAATAGGGACAACTCAAGTGTCTTTTTCTCTAGCTGAGGGAAGGGCCATGAATTCTTGTATTTAGCTCTGTATTTGACCTCTACAAGTACTAAGTAAACATATAAAATGAAATGATAAAGTAGTCCTATACATTTCAACTCAGCATGCAAAAAACATCTCAGTTCTTGTAAGTTCTATTTTTAGAGTTATCAAAATAGCATGGTTAAAAGTGAGATATACCCAAAGGAATATTATTCAGCCAAAAAAAAAAAAATAGCAGTCTACTGGCAAACCCAACAGCATGAATCTCCCAGACCCTGAGATTTGATCTCCATGCTAAGGATGGTGGCAGAGCTGCTGCACTTCCTGCATCCCCCGATGACGTCATAAATCAAGGCCACAACCTCCCCAAAACTGTTAGGAAGGAGAGTCAAGGCAAGAGAGTGAACATCAGTTTATCCTGTGCTCAACTACAGGTAGTAAAACAATGAATTCACTGCCCCATTCCTATGAACAAGAATACCTATCTTTTCTTATACTGACTGAAAAAATAAAATGTATTTATCTCACAGATGTTTCTCTTGCAATGTGAACTCTCATTACCATCAAACATCTATTGAGAATCTGTGATGTAAAAGCATAATCCTAAACCCAGAGAATAAAAGATGTATAAGAAGCAGGTCCCTGACTGCCAGAGCTTCCAATCCAACTGAGGATGAGAAACTAGACAAATGTATGTATTTCTGTATGCTAAATATATAGCTCTATTAAAAAACATAATAGATATTAGACAGGCATTTATGCATATAAGTTCATTTCATCTATCATACTGAGTGAAAATATAAAACTGCAAAAAAACATTTTTGTCTTTGAAATTTTTATTGAAAAATCATTTCTTTGCTGGTGTCCCCCTCTTTATTATTATGTTGTGATTCTTATACAATTCTAATCAAACTCTACCCTTCTCTTCTACTGAGAGACATGCTTAAAATTCTCAATGAATTTCCCATTTTTACTCTCTACCCCTGAAATGACATAGGACTCATAGGACCAGCCAGATCAACAGATTGTTTGATTTTGTGTCAGGGATTTGATATTCTTTTTTTCTTTCTTTTATTTATTCTATGTGTCCGTTACATCATGTATCTTGAACGCATTCATTTCCCTATCCCTTCCCATCTGCCCTCCACCCCTGCATCTGCCCCCCCCAAGAAAATAAAACAAAATTTAAGAGAAAAAAATAAAAATCTCAGCATGGAAGCTTCACTATGACACAGTGAGTCACACTAAATTCCTTTGTTCATATATCTTTACTTGCAAGTATTCGTTGGTCTGGTTTGAGGCCTCTAGTTTCTACTACACTATCAAAGCTGAGTCCTCACTGGGACTCTTACTGGACATCCTATTGTTGTCCTGTGTTGTGGAGATCCTGTAGCTTTGGATCTGTGGGTAGGGTCCGTTCACGTGCGCCAGCAGATCATAGATGGGGTGGATGTTGGGGCAGGCCAAGTCATAGCCCTGTTTCTGGGTCTGAGCAGCTGCAGGGTCGGTCCACCTGCCAGTTCTACCCTGTGCTCACCACCAGGGTGAGCTCTCCATCATTGCCCCAGCTAATTTACCTCTTGCAGCAATGAGTGAGGGGTGGGAACAGTTCTGCTTTCATGCCCTCAGGGGTGGCTCCCCCACACACCTACACAATCAGTCGCCAGCTCTATTGAGTTGCCCTGGGTGAAATACAGGGGCCTCTCCTGAGTGTTGCAGATGGTGAGGGGCAGGGACAGCCCTCCTGCTCTTATTACCCCAGGGCCAGCTCCTCCACCTGTCTCAGGCATTGAGGGGAGGCATATCTCCTCCCACCATGCTGCCACATATCAGATTAGTAATGGGGATAGCTCTCCCTTGTTCACATTGGGGATGGGTCAACCTCACCTCCAACCACTGGGCAGCTCTGGTGTGCTACCTAGATGAGGGGCAGGTCCTGCTTTCCTGAGTGCTGCAGCTGGTAAGGGGAAGGTCAGCTCTCTCATCTGTTGCAGATGGTGAGAGGTAAGGGGGCATCTCTCCCCCTCCCACACCACTGCATGACAGACGAGTAGTGGGGACAGCTCTCCCTTGCTCACTACTTTTGGCTGGCTCACCCACACCTCCACCAACAGGGTTGGCTCCATTGTGTTGCCCAGGCAAGGTACAGGGCCGGTTCTCCAGAGTACTCCACGGAAATGTACTCCACGGTTCTCCAGAGTGTTGCAGCTGATGGGGGGGGTGTCAGAGACAGTTCTCCCATTCTTATGACCACAGGGCCAGCTCCCCCATCTGCCTCAGGCATTGATGGGAGGGAGGGTATCTCTCCCCAGTCCATGCCACCATATAGCAGATGAACCCCCCCTTTTTATGAATTACATATTGGCATTTTGATGATTGTCTACACACAACTATATTGCTCATGAAAATTCCCATTTTGTTGTTCTCTCAAAAAGTTCTCTTGTTGAAGCCGGGCAGTGATGGTGCACGCCTTTAATCCCAGCACTTGGGAGGCAGAGGCAGGCGGATCTCTGTGAGTTCCAGACCAGCCTGGTCTACAAGAGCTAGTTCCAGGACAGCCTCCAAAGCCACAGAGAAACCCTATCTCAAAAAAATAAATAAATAAATAAGTTCTCTTGTTGAACTTTGAACCCTTTGAAGAAATCATTCACTCTGTAGTTACTTATTTCTTCCTTGAACTTTAGAGTGTCAAGTACTTTTCAGACACAATATTGCCACCTTGATCAATAAATAAGAAAAGTGAAATTCAAAGTTTAAAACTAGGGCCTGGAAAGGTGTCTCAATTATTAGGAGTACTGGCTGCTAATAAGAGAACCCAGGTTCAATTCCCATCACTCACATGGTGACTCACAACCATCTGTAACTCTAGTCCCAGGCATCTTATGTCCTCTTCTGGTTTCTGAGGACATTGCATGCATGTAGTGCACATGCATACATGCAGTCAAAATACCTATACACATAAAATCAAACTAAATAAATGCAAACTCCTGGAGTCAGAGAGTTGGCTCAGTAGTAAAGAGTACTTGCTGTTCTTCCAGGGGCACCCAAGTTCTGTTCTCAGCATCCATGTGGGTGGTTCAAGATCACTGAAACTCCAACTCCAGGGGATCACCAGCACATACACAGCAAAGAGTCACACAGGCAAAAAAAAAATGTAAATTTAAAAAATTTAAATCTAAAAAAAAAAGCTAAGCTTATAGCTTGCAATACAAATTAAGCTATGCTGAAATAACATTTAAAAAAAAAAGTCTAGAGATATTACCAGTAATCAGAGGTGTTGTCTGCATTGGGTGTTTCCAGGCACTTGGCCTCTTCTACAAAAACTAAATAAAAGCCCACACGAATTCCAAAGTGATGAGGGAACTTTATCTAAAGCAATAGAAAAGACCAGAATATGCGGTAGAGGAGCAGCAGGCAGCATGAGTGAAATACTCTTGGGATCCCAATTACAGCTTGGAGCATTTTTTGGCTTTTTGAATCAGGGTTTCTCTGTGTAGCCTTGGCTGTCCTGGAATTCGCTCTGTAGACCAGGCTGGCCTCGAACTCACGGAGATCTACCTGCCGCTGCCTCCCAGATGCTGGGATTAAAGTGGAGCATTCTTTTATGAGGTTCAAGAGGAGTAATTTGGTTACAAAAGGGTACTTCTCTATGTTGGTTAATAGACTTGAATTATTCAAGTTTGCTCCATAATACATCTTATTCTAATCATATGCATGCCCGATTATGCATAGGCATAAGATGGTAGATAGAAAAGCCATTTGAGAATGCAGTTTTGTCTTATTGAGCCTGTATCCCAAACCTATTGGACTGGATCAGTCTTTCCATTCTGGTTGAACTGAATCTCAGTCTAAGTTTGATGGTCATTAAAGAGAGGAGAAATGTACTCCACTGTTCAGAGAGGGTTGTGCATGCAACTAAATGCAGGTGGAAGGCTCCTTGGTTGCTAGCAGGTTGCTAGGTGCATTGT